CTAACTAATAACTCATAACTCACATTTATTGGCACAAGTTGTCCTTAACTGGCACTCATTGTCCTTAACTTTTGTCTTCTACTTTTTCTTCCTGAACAGAAAAGTGAAGCTAAGCTGGATGAAGTTTTGAAAGAAAATCTCTCAGAAAAAAAACTTTTAATATCAGTTATGACTAATGACTCATAACTCACATTTATTGGCACAAGTTGTCCTTAACTGGCACTCATTGTCCTTAACTTTTGTCTTCTACTTTTTCTTCCTGAACAGAAAAGTGAAGCTAAGCTGGATGAAGTTTTGAAAGAAATGAAATCTCTCAGAGAGCTGGTCAGCAGTCAGGAAAAAAGAATTGCCAAACTTGAGCAGCAGTTGTCTAAAATGGACATCTAAAAGGACCCTGAAATTCCTTCCCCTTCTTCTCTTTTTTTTCTCTAATTACTAAACCTCTCTTTGTGGAAGTGTAGTTGGTTACAAGCTCTAACTTAGTGTTTTAGGGAACTAAGATGTGATATTTAAGTCTCGTCTTGCTCATTTGTGTTTGCGTCAGAGTTTGAGAACCTCAGCTTTAGCCTGACGCTTCATGAGGTTTGACTTCCTGTATTTTTGCAGCAAGTAGGATTTGAGACATAGCATTGTGAGCGTGTGAGGGGGCCTAACGTTCCATTGAACTCCAGATCAACACCTGTTCAACAGTAGAAACGGATGGTACGTAGTTTTGTTTTTTATTTTGAATTTCGTCTTAAATTTTGCGTCTTAAATCAGAATTTAGGTTTATGTGGTGTGGTGATTTTTGAAATTCATCAACTGTAGAGTGTACGTGACTGAATCTGCATGTAAATTGTTAAAGATTTCATGAAGTGTTACCATGATGGTAATCGTAATATATTTTAAATTGAGTAGTAAAGTGTTGATAACTGTAAAACGACAATTTGTCAGCTAAAAGGAAGTAAATGGTGTAACCACATGCTATATTCTCAAACTCAACCTGCCACATGAGCTTGTTAAAGTACGAGCAACCCGTTAGTATGTAACAATGAGGTGTTTTGTTCTTTCACTGTTGCTAGACCTCAGTTTGCTCTCAGTTCTCATTGTCTTAAAGTTCCTCTCCACTGAATATACTAGAGAGGAATAACCATACAGTATATAAATGTGCTTTTTTTTGCGTGTGAAAATGTTTTGTGCATCTAAAGCATTATTGCAACATTCTCTGTCCTTTTTGTGCAGATGGCAATGGTGACTAACGGATTTGGGTGTTTACCAGTTCTTGTTTTCCTGCTGACTTTGAGCAGTTCAGTCACGTCAAGACCTCTTAGGATGAAAAGGGAAATTAGTCACAATGTGACATCGATAAACACCAACGACACACGGAGTACAGCAACCGTAGCTGAAGTTGAGAATGCAAGAAGCACCACTGTGGAAACTTTGAAGGCTTCGAGTACGTTACAGACAGTTGAGGTGAAAACTTTAAAACCTGATTTAAAGGTCTCAGCATCTACAGATTACCTTCATACCCCAGATTTGAACCACACCCAACAAAACTACTCTGCAGGAACCGAGAACCTGACAGTTCACCGGCCAACAGATAATGAGAGTACTTTTCACACCCAACTTCCCAAAATAAATATTAGTACTGGACACATTTCACATGCAGGAAGTTCTGCCCCCACATTTCCTGCATCGTTGAAGCCCAGTAAGGTAACGGAGAAGCACATGACAGCAGCGACAAGAAGAATGTCCACAGATGCAAAAGGACATACTACTGAAGTTACCTCAACAGCCACCAAAAAATCAACCACAGCAATGCCCCACTCATGTTCCACTGCCTCTTCTCAAGGGGACGGACTTGTGAGCCGTTGCCTCATCGCAATCGCCTCGATGGCAGCGTTGACAACCATCTTTATCATTAGCACCATCTGCTTGGCTACGAAACTCTCGGGATACAGATACAGGCACAAGGCGCAGCTTCTCCAGGAGACTGAGATGGTCTGCATATCTGCCCTGATGAATGATACCGATCACCCTGTTCCAAAGCCAAGACGACATCCCAAAGGTAATGGAGCATTGATCCCGAATACTGAGGATGGAGATCCTGATGGAGATAATCTCACTCTAAACAGTTTTCTACCTGATACCGAAGGCCCTCTTTAGAAGTTGAAATCTTTCTGTATGCACTGGGAACCAGCGCTTTATTGATGGATCACAGAGTTTTTTACTCTCAAACATGAAGTCAGTGCTCAGGTTTGACACAAACCCAGCTCTTGAATGGTTTGCACTGTCAAAAAAAAATCCACAGTATATCTGTGGTGCAGGTTTATCAGTTTGGGAGGTTCGTCAGTGCTCAGGTTTGACACAAACCCAGCTCTTGAATGGTTTGCACTGTCAAAAAAAATCCACAGTATATCTGTGGTGCAGGTTTATCAGTTTTCTAGGGAGTTTCAGTAATCTGAAATAAATTCAGTAATCTGATGCCTGGCTTTGAAGTGCCATTTTATGCTTTGTTGTACAATAATGAACATTCCATGTCTTTTATTTAATCAGTGGAACATTTATATTGTAATTTTTTTTTTTTTTGCATGTGTGAAGATGTTGTAATGTTATATTTAATCAGTGTTGAAATGTACTACTATGTTCTCTAAGGAGCACAGACATTAGTGAGGCTTGGCAGAATATGGTCTATTCCTGTCTGTGGTTCAGTTAGCGCTATATAATTTACAGAGTGATGTTGGAGATTATCACAGTCTGAATATAACATGTTTTTTATTTAATCAGTGGAACATTTAAATTGTAATTTTTTTTTTTTTTTGCATGTGTGAAGATGTTGTAATGTTATATTTAATCAGTGTTGAAATGTACTACTATGTTCTCTAAGGAGCACAGACATTAGTGAGGCTTGGCAGAATATGGTCTATTCCTGTCTGTGGTTCAGTTAGCGCTATATAATTTACAGAGTGATGTTGGAGATTATCACAGTCTGAATATAACATGTTATCATTGCGAATGTACATAAAATAGATGCTTCCCACATTTGCCCAGAAAGAATTGAGCTTTTGCACAGAAATTACATATTTCCATTGTGTGAATAAAAAAAAAAAGACCAAAGCCAACCAGATTAACACTGCAAAAACCAAGTCAGCAAAGATTTTTTTTCTGTTCACATTTAGTTACTTTTTTATTGTAGTATTTTTGTAGGTACTATTTTTTTTTCAGCTATATATAATAGGCCTTCTCTATGTAAATTGTATGCGTGTAGGCAACTTCAGTTTGAATGTGTTAAAGTACTTGATGGATGAATGTTGTGCAAAATGACATAAAAAAGTCATAGTGCAGTGTTAACCCAGTTATTCTTACCCAAACTAATTTTATAAATGTTAAAAAAAATCATTTAATAGAAGTCACTTGGATGTCTTACATTTTAAAGTGAATTGCTGTATGCAACCCATTTTTATTTGTTTAAGTTATATGAGATTCAACTAAAGATTTTTGAAAATCAGCTGAAATTACTTGAAATTATTATACTTAATTATACTTTCCATTCCATTGGGAATAAATTGGATCAGGAAAAAAGTGGGTGTTACTTTACATACCATAATTGAGCCAGACCCAACAAGAATGAAATAATGCTAGCTAATTAACTTTTGGTTAACATTTTCCAATTGCTATGTGACATCAGTCGAAAAATTCAAGTAGTTCCTGAAGAATATCAAAAATTGTGAAGATAAGCAGCTTTAGTAGGCTATTTGAAATAACATGCACTGATGAATAGTTAAATTGCATTAAAGTAGATGGGTCAATTTATTTGACCTTTTTTGACCAATTAATGGCGGTTCAATCTCTGATGTTAATAAAAAAAATTAACAAGATACAGTAATACAATGTGAAGCTATTTTTACATCCTAATATGTTATTTTGTAACATCTGACTTCTTTTTAGTTTGGTAAATGTAGCTGGATTGTCCTTGTCCCATGCATCCATTCGTGTTCTAGAGGAGAGAAACAGGCGGACAGAAAAAGGGAGGAGATGGAGCAAGAGGGGAGGGAAATGTCCTTGTGCAAATATCCTGATTTTTTTTTTCAGGAAAACCCACACGGTCAGAAGCTTCCATAAGCCTTTCAGGACAACACAGAGGCAGCTAGTTTTCTTTCACAACTGTATTGGTCTTTATTTATTTTGCCTACCTGTAGCTGGAAGTGTTGGTGTCAAAGTGCATCAGAGAAAGGAAGTAACACCAGCAGTGAGTATTTGAGCATTTCCTTCATTGAGAGAGTATATGTAATTTTTCACTTTCACATTTTATAAATAATTTATTAGCACACTATACATAGAATAGATGTCAAATACATTTTTATCAGTTTTACTCAAAAATACTTGTTAAAATTATGAGTTTAATGTTTTCCTGATATAGTGGCCTCAAAAAGTATTTAAGAATGAGTAAATGTCATAAATACAAAACTTCAAATACTGGTATCTGCAAACAGATGTTGCCAAATCTTTTATTAGAACCAGCTTCGCTTTTCTATGCTATTTTGCCATTTAACCAACTTATCACATTAACTATATATACACTGTATATTTTTTTTTAAACAAATCTTGGGTTTATGTTGATATTTTGTTATATGCATTTTAAATGTGAAGTGAGTGTTCACTTTTGTGTCCATTTTCCATTGTCCTTTAAGTTTCTTGTATTGTCATTTATACTTAAAAAAAAAAATGTAATCTACATTTTTTGGCATTTTTTATTTTATTGTAAAAAATGTCTTTCCTTATTTTATTACATTTTTTGTGGTCTGCACAGAGGATACCACATATTCTATTTAGATTCATCTGGCAGATGCTCCCTGAGTTTGCTTTCTTTTTTTAAGTAACATTCCTGCAACACATTGCTGAGATTATTATCTCCTCTTGTAATTTACTAATACAAAACTGTACAAGTGGAAGTGAAATGCCTTCCGATTAGCAGAGCAGAGAATGTGGTCAGCACTGAGGGGGACATTTTTTATAAAAATAAGTTTTAAAGAAGTAAAGGCATTTGAAGAGATTTCTCTGTTGGGTAGTACTCAATTTGTGGTTTACACTGCAAATTCTGATGGTGTTCGTTTGGGAAATTCCCTCCAATCCTAGCCTGCAACCAAGAGCCAGCTTACAAGTCTAATGGTTAAAGTAGCTTATCCATCCTATACTTTTTAATAAACCACCTCCAGTTATTATATTAAAATTGTTTACGTCTAGCATGAAAGATTTAAAAAATAGTCTACCCATAATGCAGAGCCTTGACGATGTATAAACCATATGAATATATATTATGTGTGTGTTCTTGATCAGTGCAGAAATAGTCTCACTCTGTGGCCTGTCTCATTGCAGCTGGGCTGTAAATACAGGCCTGTGAGCTGTGGCTCTCCCACGCCTTGCTGCACCCTCACAAATATATATCTGGCCTTGCTTTTGCTTTTCTGTGGTGAGTGGGTGGCATCAGCTAGGCAGGGAAATTACAAACCAGGCCTGGACTCTCTCTGCCTCCACCCCAAATAAGTAATGACTGGATGTAACAGGAATAGCTCCTCTCCTGCGAGGAAACAGTTTGTAGAGAGTCTACAGTTATGTGTGTGTGTGATACAAGCAGCTTCCTTCCTGTGATTCAAAGAAAACCGATAGTACCGATTATACAGATATTAGCTCTGTGTGAGTACATGACCATCTAGATAACTATTTACTATCACTGCAAGAGGGAAAATGTTCAGTATGTTGCAGGCTACATAAAATAGTGCAAATGACCCTTGCAATACTATAGAAATTCATTAATCCCCAAATAAGCTAGAAAAAAAGACAAAATGCCACCATGGCACTGTGATGTAAACAAATTATAATACCATGGTATATTAATATTAGTACTCCAAGTTACTTCAAAAAATACCATGGTACATATAAAAAAAAAAATTTAAAAAAAAGTACCATAGTACTTTTTGGATACCTATTTTATTTTTATTTTAGTGCCATTCTGTTTGTGACAAGTTTAGATTTTTTTATTATTATTATTATTATTATTGGTGGTGTTTTACCAAAATGTTTTTACTAAAATATAACTTCTTGGTAACACTTTACAGCAAGGTTCCATTTGTTAACATTAGTTAACTATATTAGTTAACAAAAAGTAACGAAAGATTATTCTAAAGCATTTAGTAATCTTAGTTAATGTTAATTTCAGCATTTACTTCTACAACATTATAATCAAAAGTTATATCTCTTAATATTGTTTAATGGACCTGAGCTAAGATGAACAAACAATGAACAGTTGAACGACTGTATTGCTCATTGTTAGTTGATGCATTAACTAATGTTAACTAACGGGAACTTGTTGTAAAGTGTTACAAACTTCCAAATATCTAAAAAAAAAAAAAACCTGCTGTAACCCCCTTCATGAAACATAATGCTCACTTCCTGTTTCTGTTGGGAATGACTAGTAATGGCCACATCTGTGTCCATTTTCTTACAGGTCTTTAGAGGAAGTATGTCACTCTCTCTGCACTTTGTTTTTCTGCTCCTGACTACTCTTTGGGGCAGCAGTTGCTTCGCCAAACCCGCCCCATTCAACGTGTCCATGGAGGGTAGTGGGGATGAACCCGAACTCATCTTTCCCATCGCTCGTACCACCCATGTTCCTCCATCTCCCTCGCCACCTCCCAACATAACAGCCACTTTCATCCGCATCAAAGACTTCCTTTTCAACCAGGTGGTGGACTTCCTGAAGGAGAACTTGCTTCTCATCATTGTCGTGACCTCTCTGTTGGTAGTCATCATCTTCATCGTCTGCTGTGCTTCAGCGATGAGCCACAAACGCAAGCTTGAGGCCTACTATCCTCCAAAGACCTACACACCCAGGAAATACATGAGTCAACCTAGTAAAGCTGTGGAGAAACCACATAACCAGATTCAGGATGGCAAGACGACAACTGCAAAGACCCTACGAGAACCCACCAAAGCATTGGTGGGTGAGAAGGAAGGAAAAGACCCCCGGCCAAAGCCAAAAGAGGTCCAAAAGGTGGAGGATGTTGAGGTGGAGGAGATGCAGAAAGATGAGCCCAAGAAGAAAGAGGAGCCTCAGCCTACCACCTCAAATGTCACCTCCAGTCAGCCGCTGGTCTGTTCGTGCCACCTCAGAAAGGCCAATCACACCACAGCGTGAGAGCTTTTTCTGTACCTGCAGGAATGAGCTTGATTCCAAACTTTTTCTACTGTTAGATATAAATCTTTTGGTAGATATCATGCCCTCACTCTCTTTGTGCTCATGTTGCTTTGCAACCTGTGTATGAGGAAGAGTGGGAAAAAATGTTGGTTCAACTCATTTTCTGTTTCTTAAAAAATTAATTAGCTAAATAAGAAAAAAAAACAGTCAGTTGACAGTTTTATTATTCATATGGAAAATAAACAACACTTGAAATTATTTTGTGAATCAATTTCTACTTTTGAGAGACTTGAGAAAATGTCTTTTGGAACTTTTTCTGACCACTTTCCTTTATTATATTTTGCAAATGAAATGACTATATGCATGGTAACCCATAATTTATGCTGTATTTTCCCAAAGCTGTTATCAGGTGTTGTATATGATGACTGTTATTTTATCTAAACTTTATGACTTTCCTCAGTATTG